CTATGTATATCTATTATACATTTAGCTTATAGCAATTATTTGTATATCAATTATATAAATTATTTGTATAGCTCTTTTTTAGTTCATCGTTCTATAAATAGGATTTCTACTTTGTCTTTCTCTTCGTCTCGATGTTCTTTTTCGGTTTGTCTAGTTCGCGACGCGCCCTAGCTAATGCCAATGCATATTAACACTCTCACACACACACACACACACACTCTCGCACATGCATTCACACACTCAATCGCACTCTCACACACTCATTGTAATTAGGAATTTGCGCCTATTTGCGTGCTGCGTCGCGTCGCAATGGGTTACCAGAAGGGAGGGGGGTGGGCGGGGTGGTGAGGGGCAGTAGAGGGTGCCATCAGGCATCGATGGGGCTCCTAATGCGGCATTTTATGTGCCGTGTGTTGAATTGAGTTTTTCGGATTTGGTTTTTGCCATATTCGTCATATTAATATTGACAACGAGTGTTTCCGCATTTATTTCACTTGCCTGTGTCTGTGGCCACGCCTCCCCTGCCACACCGCACCACACCGCCCACCAGCGAGACAGTGGAGCTCGTCGAACGTTTTGTGCTTTTAACTGTCATTTTCATAATTTCTACATTTTTGAGCCCAGTTTGTCGGCACACACACAAACACACACACACACACGCGCACACACACAAATACATAGCTACGATTACACAGCCCACGCGTCAGCCTCTAGTGACGCGGGCCCAGGCAGTGATTGGCGGTGGACAGAGGGGGTCTAGAAGGGGAGGGGGGCAGGTGTTGGCCAAGTACACACAATTGTACTTGGGGCTCTCTGTGAGAGTCGTTTATTTTGTCGGTGTGAATCGAATAATTTGAATAAATATTTTGTCCATTGCCTTTTGCGGTATTCTCTTTTTTTTTTTACTTTTCTTATTATTATTATTATTTTGATTGTTTTTTGGGAAATATGTTAGCTGGCGACGCTATTGAGGACTGAGCGGTACTAGAGACCTACATTTGAGGGCTTCTTGGATAGGGCTAAGAGGAAGAGCTATGAGTGGAACTTGAAATTTAACAAGAATACGGTTACTGATATTTCGGATTTATAATATTAGTATGTATATAGTCATAAGAGATTTGAATTTGAGAATGGGCTTTGTGGAATATTTAGATAATTGTATATAAACGAAAACCAAAACCAAGAAATACTCTTTAACTAATTAACGTAAGCCGTACACATCATAATCTATAGACCCTATTTTTGCCAAGTCTCTCTTATAGTAAACATGAAGTTAAAATATCAGCATCAGAGTGCGAAGTATATAAAATTAAGTACGAATGAGATTAAGGGAGAAAACATTGATAGTGATTTAGAGAGAAATATAGGAAACTAATAGGAAAGGGAGCTAGAGACGGATTATAGGAGAGACAGAGAGAGTGAGGTAGAGAGAAAGAGATATAGACATAGAGAGAGAGAGAAATAGAGATACAGAGAGAGAAGGAGATATATATAGAGAGAGACTGAGAAATGGAGGACAAATTTGGAGAAAGAGAGTGTCATTTTAAAAAGAAAGAAATAAATATGTATATAGATCAACCGGAAATAGAAAGAGACAACGAGTGAGATTTATTACAAAAGGAAGACTACACAAAAATAAGAACATTTGGATATGAAATGAAATTGTAAACTCATAAAGTAAAGCCTACAAATTCTTGGAAATAAAGAAATCAATCTGTAATATAAATTTCTGATACTCTACTCTATCATTAAATGGATAGGCTGTTGCATTAGTTTCGTGGCGACCCTCTCTGACCGCCATCAGCCGCCCGTCGAATGCGACGATTAAAAGGAACGAAACAACTACAATAACTTCTATATATTGTATTTAATCATATAAGGTGTGTGTACTTATATGAATGGCTCTATATATGCGGGTGTGTATGCGTGTGCTCATACGCATGTCTCTCTGTGTATGTGTGTGTGTGTGTGAGTGCGACAACTGATCAGGTAAAGCCAAACACGTTTCATTGTCTTTTTTTTTCAATCTTTTGGAGTAATTATTAATTATAGATGCCCTCGAGTCATAACTATTTTTATATGCTCTATAAAGGTTTAGTTGATTTTATGTGACATAATTTTTTTTTTAAATATATTTTTAAATTATTAATATCGGAATTTATGAGATTCATTTCAAGTATTTTTAATAAATTGTAAAATATTTCGAAATTTTCTTCAAGACTTTCGTTTGACCATTTGTGGTAAGGGTATTCAAAGGTTGGATTTCCTTTTTGCTTCTTTATGGTTTCTCTTTTTGTATTTGGTTTTTATTTTGTTTATGCGCTTATTTTTTTTATATATATATTTTTTTATTATTGATTTTGATGCGTGAACAAAATTTAAATAGTGACATTTTGGGCCAACAATAAACATTAACAGTAATTTCGGAAATAATAAACTGGTTGCGACTGTTTGTCATAAATCCGAAACTATGACAAAAGCAACAACTACCACAACAACAATTATAACAACAACAAAGACAACCTCAAGTACAGCAATGCCAAAGAAATTCAATGAAACACCGCCCACAACTTTCGAGGGGGCTGCAAGAAGAGATTACCAATAATTTAGCAATAGTCGAGACTTACAATATAATCCCTATAAAAATAAATACTTCAAATGATCTCACTGAACTAGAAGTTTAACCAGATCTGAACTATTTCCGCTATAGAAAAATATATTTATTATGTAACTACTTTAACATATAAGTAATGATCTTTATCTATTATCTATCATTCATGAATTATCTTTTATCTTTTCAGGCTCAGCAGTCACCTCAGGCCATCTTCACCAGTTTCAAGTTGGAAAAAAATGATCCATCCTCTGGCTGCGGCCTGGCAAGTTCCTCAGATGCAGCCGAAGAGCGTCCCATTGCCTTGAGACTTGGGGCTGGGGCTGGGGCTGGCGCTGGCGCTGGGGAATCGACTGCAACAGATCTCACACCTAGTCGTAGCAGAAAGAGAGCCCGCGTTTGGACTGTGGATCTACACAGAAGTCCCGCAAATGTGCGCAGTGCCAGTCCTTCTACAGAAAGAACATCGACGAGGGAATTACCTGATAGGGATAGATCGCCAGTTCCGGTGAGTGAACCAGAATTTATTATTCTTTAAAATAGATTGATTTTATTTCARTGTCTATTACTAACAAATATGAAAAGCACATTATTTATAT